CCCCCCCTCACCCCAGGAAAATAATATACCTAACAAAAGCATTGAGGAATCTTCTTAAGCACTAAGGGGTCGTTTGGTATGAGGTATAAGTAGATATAGTATTAATATAAAAATTTAATACCACCTTAATACTCTGTTTGGTTAGCAAACATGGTATAAGTTATCCCGGGATTAAAATTAGTAGCGGGATAACTTATACCTTGTAGGGAGTGGGGTAATTAGTGCCGGAATAACTTATACCTTCTTCTTAGAAATTATGCAATTGTCATTTTTAATACAACATACCAAACAGTGGATAAAAAACAATCCAGCATAAGTTATCCCAGTATAAGCCGTATTGTAACCAAACGACCCCTAAGTATGCTAACGAGAATATCAGGAAACCATCAAGTAAGCAGGAAGGTTGCAACAAAATGTTTAAACTCCTGAACAGCTAATCTTTAGTTGCACATCAATTGTTAAGCATGCAATATCAGCACCTACTAGTGATGCCAACTGTCTCAGAAGAGGTAATAATAAAAATTATAATGAAATTATTTCACGTTTTTCAATAACTTACTTTTGTTGAGGATTGACCAAGTCAAGAATTGGCTCTGATGTGCCTCCTGTATAGTGATAACAAGAGAAAAAATAAGCAGAGAAGACAATCCTTTCTTCTTTACATCAAATGGAAGCAGCAAAAATCCAACTCATTGCTCAATTCTTAAACAAACTAATATCAAGTTACATCAACAAGTAAACTCAGGACCAGACTGCTTATGGGCATTCAAATGTAGGGTAAAAGTAGCCTAATGCATTCACCTCAAGGAATTCATATGACTTGCAGAAAATTTTCTGCCACATACAGAAAAAGGGTGTTAATTCAATAGGTTTTGGTCTATGGCTAAGCTAGTATCTCAGAGGCACACAACATACATAGTGCGGGAACCAAAAGACCATGCTTCAAGTGTGAGGGTTAGAAAGGCACGGAACAAATTTACATTCCCCAAAAAAAAAGAGGCAAACATTTGAAGACTAGTATCTGCCAGTTTTTCAGGTGGTGGGGAAGTGTCTTTCTTACTGGTATGTCTACTCCTTTTTTCATCTCTTTTTCCTATTTTTTCTCTAAAACTAATTTTTATCGGTAAAATTAATACTCAAGACATTTTCCCCAGACACCTCTGCCTTAAAACCTTTTTTTAGACATTAAAAAAATCACATAAAGCCACAACCAAGATTCCTGCATGGGCACAAATATATGCTTGCATATTGTTTTGTATTCATGTCAGACACCGGTAGTCATACAAAAACAATTGGAACGAACTCTAGCCCAATCAGATGGTGTCGCAAGTCATGTCCTTGATACTGAACACTAAGTGTCCTTCAATCAGACAGCAAAAAGTCTATCAGATGTGTCAATTATTCCCACTTCAATAACTTTTAGGGCTCGTTTGGTACGAGGGATAAGGGATAATTAATCCCGGAATTAAAATTGAGATGAGTTTGTCCCACATTTGCTTGGGATAAAATCGTGGTATAACTAATCCCGGGATTAGTTATCCCTGGATTGTAGTGTTTTTTCTATCCTATGGGAGGGTGGGATAATCCCGGAAAAACTAATCCCGCGATAATTAATCATGGGATAACTTGTTTCCCAACCAAACGACCCCTTAAGACATAATTTCAGAAGATATAATGGCATACTTCAGGTAGTAACAAGTATTACAAAATTAACCTTGCATACTAGAGATCGACACAAATTCAACCAAACACGAAAGCAAAGAAGAAAAAGAGTTGTCTCCTGCCCTATGCAAAACATATGTTAAACTTCATTTATGTTATATTCAATGGAACTCTTCTAAATTATGTAGTTATGGTTGTCTTGAAACCTCAAGTTCATTTTTTTTTGTTTTTGTAATTCCTTATGAAAATAGTGGAACACTATATTAGGTTATAGTCATTACAGCTGTCATGCCCCCATATTTTCAAAAGAATTTCCTTTTGTATCTGAATCGGTAATGTGCCCAATGTCTGTCCATGACCATGATATGCAGGGGGGCTACATACAACTCCTAGATGAAACACATGCTTAACTACAGAGCAAATTTGTGTCTTTGGCATCTGAATCAATATTGTGCTTGCCCCAATGTCCATTTCATGACCATGATATGCAGGGGCCCACATACACTCCTAGATGAAATACATGCTAAACTATAGGCTAAAAAGCTGGAATGCTTCGAACTCAGAATTAACAGCCTGAAGTTTGACGGCATGAAAGATGTAAGAAACTCCTACAAGGGGCACATAGAAAATTGTAATTAAGACACAACAGATTATTAAGACACAACAGATATAAGCTGAATGACTTTCAGCATTGCCCATATTCAAATTTAAGAATCGATGCTCTTGCATATCCAAATAAAAGGAGTCGTATATTACAAATGGAAGCAATGCCAAGCAGAGGTTTTCAAATGTTTAAAGTAGGATGTTAGAGGATCCGTCAGTCAACTATAATACCTACGAGGATCCGTCAGTCAACTATAATACCTACGACTAGTCAACACAAGCCCAAACTAACCGAGGATCTAACTGCACACTAAAAAAGTTGTACCTTGCACCGGCTCCTTAGACCCCAACAATTCTTTCCATTTCCATCCACGAATCCGACCATCATCACCACAACTGCATGAAATCACCTACATTAAAAAAAGAATCGGCATCTATGGTAGAACCAAAGTCACACTGATTGAAGAAATTTATACAAGATATTTGGTTCTTTTTTTTTTTTGTGATAAGTACACAAGATAAGTGCCTCCCTTGTTTACTTTCACTCTAAACAAAAACTTGAACTATCTTACATTTGTGCTAACTCACCTACAATTTTAAGGAATACATAAGAACCAAAATTTTTATAAGAACAAGTACCTCAATAATAGTGAATCCTCATCGTTGCCATAAAATTTAACATCATAAGCAGGCCCATCATGTCCTTGTACCAGCCAACTAGATTCAGCCACTGGCACCAACGAACTAAACCAAATTCACCAAATAATTATCAATTCAAACCAAAACTTACCTTCACACTTCGAAAACATTGAGAAAACAGGAACTTACTTGCCCGCGGAGCTCAAATCCTACCAAGATGAAGAAGCGAAAAAAAAAAAACTTAATACTTTAGTCAATAAATTTTGCTTCTTCCAGTTAGAGTGAGATATTGAGCTTACGAGGCAAGAGGAGATGGAGTAAGAGGCGATAGTGCCGTCGCTAATACCGGCGACGATGAGGTCCGGATAAGAATTATGGTTTGGATTCGGGTTCGGGGCGAATGCAGTACGGAAAACAGTTCGGCATTGGGATTCTCTCTCCAGTAAAATGGAGTCTCTGTATACGTCTTCGTCCCAGTTCCTGCAGTCCATCGCTGTTACCATCCTTACCAGAATATTTCGGTGTTTAGTGAATCAGGGTTTAGCTGAAACTCTTGACGAAGAACCGGGATTTTGGATAATTCGCGATTAGCGACATCGTTTCTGTAAGTCCGAACGGGGTTGGGGCCCAAGTCTAAAGGTGTCTAACGGGCCGGGTTGACCTGGAACCGGACTGGCCCAGATCGGTTGAAACCGGAAACGGACCGGCACGGTTCATAAAGGGGCCGGGTGGGCTGGGTAGGAGGGGTAGAGGGGGTTGGACCGTTTATTATTTTTTACCGGTTAACCGGACCAGTTAAATNATATTGCAGTATAAGCAGCATTCCACTGAGTCCTTGCAAGAAACTTGGAAAAGATTTAAAGGGATGCTAGTAAAGTGTCCTCATCATGGCATTCCAGACCAGATGCTCGGCCAGAGATTCTACATGGGTCTAGCTGACAACTTGAAAGCGAATGTGGATGCTTCAGCTGGAGGTGCTTTCTTAAGCAAAACATTCACCGAGTGCAAAATTCTTCTCGATAAGATGTCACAAAATGCGGGGAGGATGACTAAAGGTACAACACTGGCACCCATAGTGCATTCAGTTCCGCTTGATCCCAATAATTCGCAGGAAGAGAACATGGCCACACTCCTGACCCAGATGAGC